TGAGTATGCTGTAAGTGTCCAGATGATTAAGGATGTTCGTAGTTATAATATGCTCTTGAAGTTTACAGCATAGGCACGTTAGAGATACAGGGCGGTAATTACTGGCTTTTAATCTGTCTCCTTTTTTGAATACCGCAGTTACAATTGCATTTTTCCAGTCTGTAGGTATATTGTCAAGATTGAGTGTTTTCTGAAAAATAGTTGTCAAGTATGGAGCGATGTTATCAGACAAGTCTTTTAAGATTCTGGCTGTGATCGAGTCTGGCCCGCAAGCTTTATTTGGGTTAATTTTTCTGAGGAGTTTGAGGAGACTGGTTTTATTGACATGTATATCAGACATTGATGGAAAGGATTCCCAGATGGTTTTGGAATACTGTAGATTCCTAAATATACGCGAGGAATTAATTAACGCGTAATTGCGCGAGGAGCACCACTCGCGAAATAAAGTTACTCGCTTTTATTTTTATGGTGTTGAAATTAATGTTAAATCTCATTGTAAACCGTCCATTCGCGAATTATTGTTCTCGCGATTTGGCGTCCAAGAGCCCTTTCGCGAAATTAAGTACTCGCGTAAAATAAGGAATTTACAGTATTCTGTGTATCCTCATGAGTAAAAACTGATTCATATTGTCTATTTAGGATGTTTGCTTTATCTTTTGGATCGTCGTGCATTTTGCCATCTTCTTTAAGGGGTGCTATACCACTGTTGTCTTTTCTAAGGCTCTTAATATAATTCCAAAAACGTTTTTGTTTCCCCGGGTTCTGTTCGCTGTCGGGATCTCCCACCTCAATCAGATTGTTTACATAATCCCAGTATGCCTTTCTCTGAGTTTTCTGCGCTACTGCTCTGGCTTCTTTATACCTCTCTTTTATCTTTCTTTTTATGGGTGGATCTTGCTCTACCGAATAGCTTATTTCTCTTTCTTATTTTGATTTCACTTCTTTATTTATCCATTTTTTATTGTCTTTATTGTTCTTTATTGTCTTCTGTGGTATATGTTCTTTCATAAGCGATTGGAGTTTGTCTTTAAATAGTGTCCAGATTTCTTCGATGTTGTTATTGTCTTTAGTCATCACAGTATAATGATAAATCTTCTCTAAATGATGTATAGTTTGCATTCTTATATTTCCAAACTTTACGTGATGTCACTTTCTTTTTCATTGGTCTTAAACTTGATTCAATGAATACTGCTTCTTGGTCTGAGATGCCGGGAATAACTTTTACTTGGTTCACTAGAGTCTCATTGTTGGTTAAGAATAAGTCCAGGATATTTGAATGGTGTTCGGATATTCTTGTAGGCTCATGAACTAGTTGATCTAGGAAGAAGTTTTTGCTGATGGTAAGAAATTGGTCGCTGATTGTTTTATTTGCTGAATTTGGATGTACGCTTTCAGTCTGCCAGTTTATTCCAGGTAAGTTGAAATCACCTCCTATCCATACATGTGATCCCTGGGTTGGTATTCTTGAGAGGTAGGCTTTTAGAGTATTTAAATACTCGGGGTCATTGTTATTCGGTGGTCTGTAAAAAGATCCCACATATAGGTCTTTAGCACCTGTGATTTTGAGTTTAACCCAAAAAAGTTCACAGTTTTGATCGCACTTTAACTCTTCTGGTTGTTCACTATCGTATTTATCAGAAATTAAGATAAACACGCCGCCTCCTTCTCCTTTATCTCTATCTTTTCTGTAACTTTTAAAGTTTGACGGAAACACTTCTGACGATTTGATTGACGAATTTAGCCAGGATTCGTTTCCTATGACAATGTCAGCCTGTGTTGATTCAATGATGTTATATAGCTGGGCGGGTTTTCCAGATGACTTGATAGATTGACAGTTAATAACGAGCACTCTGAGTGGTAGATCACTATGTTTAGCATCCCTGGTCTTTGATGGCGAAGCTTAATTCTGAATCAAGAGCAGAGTTGTCAATAAACGAGAAAGTGTTTGATGTCTCGAATGTGGAATTATTAAATAAACAACTGGAGAAATTTGGAAGACCGCAAGTACAGCATTCCCAAGTGATATTTGACAATGCATTATACACTTGATCTGGCATGGCCATACAGACTTGATGGTACCATTGATCACACTTATCGCAACATACACCTGGTGTGTTCCATCTTACTGCTTTATGACAAATAGCACATGGAAATTTTGGTGGTCGTGGTCCCGAATTCGGTTCTGGCGCATACGATTCCGCCAGTAATAGGCTGCATAAATAAATGAGTGTTTGTTTGTCTCTACATACTGGACCTTGTTGTTTGTTACAGGATATTGCAAGTGTAGATATAAATTGTGTGCACTTTGATGAACACAATCGCAAGATGTTTTGTAACTTCGGCTCATTGTTATCATTTTGTGTTTTTCCTTCATTGTACAAATGTTCATAGTTGGATATTTGGCATTTAATCAATAGGAAAAGTGTCAATAAAGTTACCGTGAAGTTAATCTGCATCATCTTGGAGATCTTTCACGAAAACACATTCTATTTCCATCGCCAAATCACAAAATGAAAGTAGCTTCTTCACTTCCGGTGAGAGGCTCACCACGGGAGTTATACATTATATTATATTACATATATGTTAAATGAGGGAATTATGATCTTTTTGAAAGATCGTGGATCAGATGGTTATTAGTAATAGAAGTATGAACAGACTCGGTCAGTTTTACCAAGAATACCAGAGATAAGTGAAAAATTTCAGGAGCTGAGAGAAGTTGCTGCCATTGGTTGCGCATGCTCAATAGAATATCTTAAACTTGCAGGTTATTTTTTATCAGTCAGGGCATGATGGAAACAAGTTATATTTAAAACAATTTGTTCAATTAGTCTCCAGTTCGTATCTTTAGCCATTCTTGAAAAAAAAGGGTGACAAAATATCATTTTAAAGCTACTAAATACCTGATATATGGTACATTGAAAACAAGAGGCCCATGGGCCACATCGCTCACCTGAGCACATTGGCTAGGCAAAAGCACAAATCAGTTCAGAATTGAAAAGATTACCACTGGGGGTAAGGGGGGCATGAATTCTTAACAACCTGATGATGCTTCCATGTTAATATAACAAATGGCTTTCTTGTACTTGCGATGATTTTAAAAAAAATTTCCCATATATTCCTTTGTAAAAATTTGATCCCCCATTGTGGCTCCTCCCTATCCCAGGGGTCATCATTTGAACAAACTTGAATCTACACTACCTGAGGATGCTTCCATATCAATATGACTAAACATAGCTTTTCTGTTCTTGAGAAGAAATATTTTTTCTATATGTTCTTATGTAAAAATTTCGATCCCCCATTGGGCCCCACCCTACCCCTGGGGGTCATCATTTGAACAAAATTGAATAAAATGACTAATCATGGTTTGTAGTTCTTGAGAAGAAGATTTTGAAAAATTTTCCCTGTATATTTCTATTTAAGACTTTGATCCTCCATTGTGGCCCCACCCTACCCACGGGGGTCATGATTTGAACAAAATAGAATCTACACTACCTGAGGATGCTTCCAAATAAATATGATCAATCAGGGCTTTGCTGTTCTGAGAAGAAGATTTTTTAAAATTTTTCCTATACATTTCTATGTAAAACTTTGATCCTCCATTGTGGCCCCACCCTTCCCCCGGGGGTCATGATTTTAATAAATTTGAATCTACACTACCTGAGGATGCTTCCGTATAAATATGACAAATCTGGGCTTTGCTGTTCCTGGGAAGAAGATTTTTCCTATATATTTCTATGTAAAACTTTGATAGTCCATTGCGGCTCTGCCCTACCCTGGGGGGTCATGGTTTGAACAAACTTGAATATACACTACCTGAGGATGCTTCTATATAAATATGACTCATAATGGCTTTGCTGTTCTTGAGAAGAAGATTTTTAAAGATTTTTCCTATATATTTCTATGTAAAATTTTGATCCTCCAAAGTGGCCCCACCCTACGCCCCGGGAGTCAAGATTTGAACAAACTTGAATCTACACTACCTGAGGATGCTTCCATATAAATATGACTCATCATGGCTTTGCTGTTCTTGAGAAGAAGATTTTTCCTATATATTTCTATGTAAAACTTTGATCCTCCATTGTGGCCCTGCCTTACCCCCCGCGGTCATGGTTTGAACAAACTTGAATCTACACTACCTGAGGATGCTTCCACATGAGTTTCATCTTTCCTGGCCCTGTGGTTCTTGAGAAGAAGATTGTTAAATGATGCCATTATTTTTTCACTAATTCCTAATTATCTCCCCTTGAAAGAGGGCGTGGCCCTTCATTTGAACAAACTTGTATCCCCTTTACCCAAGGATACTTTGTGCCAAGTTTGGTTGAAATTGGCCCAGTGGTTCTTGAGAAGAAGTCGAAAATGTGAAAAGTTTACAGACAGGCAGACAGACAGACGGACAGACAGACGGACGCTGGACAAAATGTGATCAGAAAAGCTCACTTGAGCTTTCAGCTCAGGTGAGCTAATAAAAGTAATTCCATATCTCAAATCGGTAAAATTTGGGTGAAAAAACGGGACCAATTGCTACCATACTTGTATGTTGAAAATACCTTTACCAGTAATGGAACCTCACTTGCATTGCAGTTCATCAGTAGTGAATAATTATCATACAATATGCTTGTATAATCAGCGTATGATAATGTTGTACATTATGAATTCTAAAGAAAGTTGCTTAAAACTTGAGATAAAAATACAAGCCAAAGTCCCTTTGAACCACATAACAGAAATTCTGTTAAGAATGTGCAAAAAAGAAAAGTTGACACTTTCATCGATAGTTTTGACTTCAGTGGGTAATGACATTTGCATCACACTGATCTTTCAGAGAATAAAGCTGTACAATAAGCATTGGCATAGGAAAAGTTGAGTATATATATGTTTCAAAAAGCTTAAAGTGGGCAAACAATTTATTTTCTCTTAATAAGCTATAGTTTAAGCTTATGTCATCTAGTCTGTAAGCAACATCATAAAATCAAAACTATCGTTAAAAATGTCCTAAATCTCACCTCTGAACAGTTTTCATGTACTGACTGAAAAATTATATTTAATAAGTACAATATACAAACAATCCTAAAATTCAATCATGTTCATACATCTCATGCATATTATTTTCTTGCCTTCTAAAAGTTAGGAACATACCTCACAGACAAAGATAACTGGGTGTACCAAATCATCTCGACAACACAAAATATCAGCTTTTGATGATGTAGTTCTACCCAGGATTTGAGCTTTTTGTGTAACTATAAATGGATCGCTCCTGGAAAACAAATGCAAATTGTAAATTGTAGGTCAGATTCAGCATCCGAAGCAAGTCCAGTAGTGTGCATCCTTAGATGTATCATCCCTGCAAGTTTGGTCAATATAGGGCTTAAAGTTACTTGGAAATGAGATCTGCTCCAGAAAATTAACCTTGTCATGTAGGTCAAATCCAGCATCCGAAGCAAGCCTGGTTGTGTGTACATCCTCAGGGTCTAGAACTATGCTTTCCCATTGCCAGGGGCAAGTGAAAATTTCATCTCGGGAAAGATAGTTTTCTTGATAAACTTAATAAATTTCAGGATGAGCTAGCAAAACTTTTCGAGTTTATTAAAAGAAATCAATTACAATAAACATCCAATTACAGTACATTGCATGAGAATCTGCACAAGTCTGCTACATTTCATTTATTAGTCCCCTACCGGTGAAACCGGAGGGAACTATATAGGTTTCCTCTGAGTCTGTCCGTCCATCTGTCTGTCTGCCCCACTTCGTTTTCCGCACTTTTTTTCTTTATGCTTTTGAGAATTGATTTGAAACTTGCTATGTACCTTTATAGTGATAAACTACAGATCAAGTTTGAATTTTATCACGTTTAACCAAAAGGTTCCAGAGTAAATCAGTTTTAAATATTCCTTTGTTTTATAATAGTTCAAGATAGAGTTCGTACTGCACTATATTAAAGTTACAAAACGATGTTGTCAGGTTTAAAATTATTGATTTCAAACTTGCTAGGTAGCTTTATAGTGACAAACTATAGATCAAGTTTGAATTCTGTCACATTTGACCAACAGGTGCTAGAGTAAATCAGTTTTAAGCATTCCTCTTTTTTATGATTGGGTTCACGATCAGGTTCATGCTGCACTAAAATGTTCCAAAAATGAGGTTGTTGATTGTGACAGAAGTTTGAGAAGACGGTAAAGTAATATTGTGCATTGTTTTCAGCAATTCCTACCAGCGAATACTTAATATACTTGGCAAAATAATACCAGATACTATAAAGACTGAATATTTTTCCAGATTTGAATTGTTTTTTATATCCCTATTTATTTATAAGTTAAAGGCAGAGATTTTTACTGGGTGGTAAATGCCAGGTTAGGGAAAACGAGTAACATAAGCAATTGTCATGTTATTCATACATTATGTGATTTTAGTCAAACAGGTATTTGTAAGACAGATTTCATTCCAACATTTCATTCATAAACATGAGACCCAAGGGCCTTGAATCACTCTTCTGATAAACTGTACAACATATCACTTCTATTTGAAGCCTCTAAGTATTCTGTATATTTAGATAAAGCCTTGAAATTCCAAAGGTAGGTCGTCAAGACTACATTTTAGATGAAACACTCTGATTAGTACCTGAGAGTAGGTCATGGTGACCTACTTATCACTTGTCATTCTCTGAGGACCCATGATGCATCAACTAAGTTTGATGATTCTAAGCCAATCAGTATCTGAAATATCTAATTAAAGCCATAAATTTTCAAAAGTAGGTCATGGTGGCCTACTTTTCAGTTGTTGTACTCCAAGGACCCAAGATGCATCAACTGATAAAATTTGATGATTCTAAGCCAATTAGTACCTGAAATATTTAATTATAGTCATATAAATTGAAAAGTAGGTCACAATGACAAACTACTCTTTGGACCAAAGATGCATGAACTGACAAATTTTGAGATTCTAAGTCAAATAGTACCTGAAATATTTCATTAGAGCCATAAATTTTGAAAAGTAGGTCACGGTGATGTACTTTTTAGTCGACCTACTCCGAAGACCCAAAATGCATCAAATGACAAAGTTTGATGACAAAGTTGACAAAGTTCAAAAAGTAGGTCACTGTGACCTACTTTTTAATTAATACGTTTTATGGCCCCAAGATGCATCATCTTACAAGATTTAATGATTCTAAACATGTCAGTATTTGAATTAATGACCTTAATTGTCACCATGACCTACTTTTGAAAAAGATTAGCCATAAAATTCAAAAAGTAGGTCATGGTGACCTACTTCTTAGTTGACTTACTCCAAGGACCCAAGATACATCAACTGACAAAGTATGATGATCATAGGCCTAAAATTGTTCAAAATATGCCTCTAATCATTTTGAAAAAGAATGGCTGCAAAATTTAACAAGAGGCCCATGGGCCACATTGCTCACCTGAGCACATTGGCTAGGAAAAAAAGCAAAATATCAGTTCAGTATTGAAAAGTTTACAGGGGGTGGGGAGGGGGTGGTTGAATTTTAAACTACCTAATGATGCTTTCATATCACAATAACAAATGGCTTTGCTGTTCTTGAGCAGCAGATTTTTTTCCCATATATTCATTTGTAAAACTTTGATCCCCATTGTGGCCCCACCATACCTCCGGGGGCCCTCATTTGAACAAATTTCATTCTACACTCCCAAGGATGCCCCCATATTAATTTGACTAATCATGGCTTTTCTGTTCTTGACAAAAAGATTTTTTCCTATATAATCCTCTGTAAACTTTGATCCCCCATTGTGACCCCATCCTATCCCAGAGGGAGGGGGATTGTCATGACTTGAACAAAATTGAATCTACACTACCTGAGGATGCTTCCATATAAATATGACCAATCATGGTTTTGCTGTTCTTAAAGAAGATTTTTAAAGATATTTTCCTGTATATTTCTATGTAAAACTTTTGGTCCCCTATTGTGGCCCCACCCTACCCCCGGGGGTCATGATTTGAACAAACTTGAATCTACACTACCTGAGGATGCTTCCATATAAATATGACCAATCATGGCTTTGCTGTTCTTAAGGAGAAGATTTTTAAAGATATTTTCCTATATATTTCTATATAAAACTTTGATCCCCTATTGTGGCCCCACCCTACCCCCGGGGGTCATGATTTGAACAAACTTGAATCTACACTACCTGAGGATGCTTCTATATAAATATGACCAATCATGGCTTTGCTGTTCTTAAGGAGAAGATTTTTAAAGATATTTTCCTATATATTTCTATATAAAACTTTGATCCCCTATTGTGGCCCCACCCTACCCCCGGGGGTCATGATTTGAACAAATTTGAATCTACACTACCTGACAGTGATTTTTCTACATTTTTTAAAAGGGGCCTGGGCCTTTACAATTGGGAAAAATCATCGACATTTGTATCAAATTGGGGAAAATCAAAAAGATTGAAATTTAACCTTAATAGGCAGGTAAAATGAAATACTGGTATATAAGTAAATGTAACATCATTTATTCAATTTATTTGCTAAAAAGTAACAAATTAGACACAGTTCTAAATTCTTAACCCTTTTTTTAATCTTTGAAAGATGTCATTAATTGTGACCAACCTATATTTCCATTTTATTTTTTTTTGGCCATAATGGTAGACATAAGAGAAAATCTTTCTCGTAATAGCCATTGAAGATAGACTAATCTGACATGATAAATGACAAATCATTTTTTTTTTCAAACTAATTATTAAAGCTTTTTTATGACCCTAGCTAATCATAATGCTGCCATTTCTCTGCAATACTAGCTGCATCTGCCGGATGTAGAAACAGTTTGATTTTTATGGAATCAGGGATGCTTACTGCTTACTTTTAAATTATAAGGGTAGGGGGACTCAATATTTTATGGTCATAATATCTTGAACCCCCTCCCTCTTAAATTATAAGGGTAGGGGACTCAATATTTTATGGCCATAATATCATGAACCCCCCTCTTAGATTGAAAGGGTATATAGGGGACTCGATGTTTTATGGTCATAATACCTTGAACCCCCCCTCTTAAATTATAAGGGTAGGGGACTCAATATTTTATGGTCATAATATCTTGAACCCCCTCCCTCTTAAATTATAAGGGTAGGGGACTCAATATTTTATGGCCATAATATCTTGAACCCCCCTCCCTTTTAAATTATAAGGGTAGGGGGACTCAATATTTTATGGTCATAATATCTTGAACCCCCTCCCTCTTAAATTATAAGGGTAGGGGACTCAATATTTTATGGCCATAATATCATGAACCCCCCTCTTAGATTGAAAGGGTATATAGGGGACTCGATGTTTTATGGTCATAATATCTTGAACCCCCCCCCTCTTAAATTGAAAGGGTAGGGGGACTCGATATTTTATGGTCATAATATCTTGAACACCCCCTCTTAAATTAAAAGGGTAGGGGGACTCAATATTTTATGGTCATAATATCTTGAACCCCCTTCCCTTTTAAATTATAAGGGTAGGGGGACTCAATATTTTATGGTCGTAATATCTTGAACCCCCTCCCTCTTAAATTATAAGGGTAGGGGACTCAATATTTTATGGTCATAATATCTTGAACCCCCCTCCCTTTTAAATTATAAGGGTAGGGGGACTCAATATTTTATGGTCATAATATCTTGAACCCCCTCCCTCTTAAATTATAAGGGTAGGGGACTCAATATTTTATGGTCATAATATCTTGAACCCCCTCCCTCTTAAATTATAAGGGTAGGGGACTCAATATTTTATGGCCATAATATCTTGAACCCCCCTCCCTTTTAAATTATAAGGGTAGGGGGACTCAATATTTTATGGTCATAATATCTTGAACCCCCTCCCTCTTAAATTATAAGGGTAGGGGACTCAATATTTTATGGTCATAATATCTTGAACCCCCTCCCTCTTAAATTGAAAAGGTAGGGGACTCAATATTTTATGGTCATAATATCTTGAACCCCCTTCCTCTTAAATTATAAGGGTAGGGGGACTCAATATTTTATGGTCATAATATCTTGAACCCCCTCCCTCTTAAATTGAAAAGGTAGGGGACTCAATATTTTATGGTCATAATATCTTGAACCCCCTTCCTCTTAAATTGAAAAGGTAGGGGACTCAATATTTTATGGTCATAATATCTTGAACCCACCGGCTTCAATATTTTATAAGGAGGTTCATTATATCGCAGCGAAAAATGAACCCGGGTTCAAAATATTATGCGATATATTGAACCCGGGTTCAATATATCGCGGTATCAAA